CAGCAAACGCAGATTTCAAGCGTCGTGCAGTACGCAACAGACAGATAGCCGAAGTGAATTCCCTTCGTTGTTCGTTTTAATACAGGGACGTTGCCGAAATCTCAATGCATCTATATCTCTATTCTCGTTTTTCTCCAAGGAATAAGCCTATTACCACTTCCTTTTCTATGTGAACGATATTCATCACAACTACACTTGACAACTTAAATACACTCTTCGATGAGGCATTGTTGGTACATTATGATATATCATTGCACCTTGCACAACATTGAGAGCCAATCGACGGCCGTTATATCTGAAAATCGCGATCACGAACGCCTGATATAAACGACTTTACAACTACATCTTTACTGGCCTGAATCAGTGCACGGCTTATGGAGTGGCAGGGTTTGAAGGACTTTATTGCGACGTCATGAATGCCAAGGTGATCTAGAAATACGCTCCTCGAAAAAGACTCCTTATATTTGCGGGCATGCAGTTCAGAAACTAGAGGGGTTTGTGGCCTTAATATGGGCGGGGCTGTTAACTACACAGACTGGTCTTTAAGATGACTTTTCTGTTCAAACCCTAAACGAATGTGGAGCACCGTCTAACATATGTTTCACAGAGTAAACATGAACGCGTTTCGCGGTCAGCCATGATATCGCGCTGAGGATGCGGGTCGTCGAATCACGTCGGGCACTGCACATCAATGCCGATATTCACCCAAGCCACAAAGGACCCCTCATGTAGTTTTGAGCGAACTGGGTTTGTGGAATGTGCCTCATTGTACGGTGACTTAGGTCACCGAACGCAAAAAAAGAGGAAGAAAAAACTGCAACAATCATCGCTGAAGCAAAAATCACATCTACACTTCCAGTTTCAAACTATTTTTTTTCAGACAAATAGGGCCATATGGGTAGCGATTTGGAAGGGCCAGGTCTCCATCTAAAACTGAGGGTACGAAAAGCCTCTACAAGTGGCCAGACAACTTCGGTGGCGTCCTAGCGAAGGCCCAAGAGTGGGACAAACTTTCCCTATTTCTTTCTCAAACTTCATGGACTATTTAAGCCGCCGTCATTGTTGGCATCTCCATATTACATATCTGACGACCCGAAAAGCAACGCTGTAAGGCACCTCAAATTCGTGGCGAAGCAGGATCTTGAGGATACACGATGCACTCAATTTTCATACCACGCAGAGTTGCGACGTAAATTGCAGCTTTCCCACTCAGCCCCACGTTGTAATACTTGTTTCCGCCTCTGGGTATAACCCGGATGAGCGGCAAATGTATGATACACGAAGTGTGTGAAGTGTGTTGATATATATATATATATATATATATAGATATATATATATATCTATATCTCTCTCTCTCTCCTCTCTCTCTCTCTCTCTCTCTCGTCTCTCTCTCTCCCCCCACCGCTCTCTCTCATCTCCTCTCTCATCTCTCTCTCTCTCATCTCTCTCTCTTCTCCTCTCTCTCTCTCTAGTTCTCTCTCTCTCATCTCCTCTCTCTTACTCTCTCGCTCACTCTCTCTCTCTCCTCCTCTCTCTCTTCTCTCTCTCTCTCTCTCTCTCTCTCTTCTCTCTCTCTCTCTCTCTCTCTCTCTCTCTATCTTCTCTCCCTCTCCTTCTGTTTTCCTCCTCTATCATCTCTCTCTCTCTCTTCTCTCTCTATCTCTCTCTATCTCATCTCCTCTCTCTCCCTCTCTCTCTCTCTCTCTCTCTCTCCTCTCTCTCTTATCTCTCTGTCTCTCTCTCGCCCTCTCTCTCTAACTCTCTCTCTCTCTCTATCTCTCTCTCTCTATCTATCTCTTCTCTCTCTCTCTCTATCTCTCTCTCTCTCTCTCTCTCTCTCTCTCTCTCTCTATCTCATTTTATCTCTCTCTCTCTATCTCTCTCTTCTCTCTCTTCTCTCTCTCTCTCACTCTCTCTCTCTCTTCTCTTCTCTCTCTCATGCAAATGAATATATATATATATATTATATATATATATATATATATATTATATATATATATCGCATGCAAGTGTTCTCTAAGACCATGGCGTAGGTGCGTTTAATAAGCTTTTTCTGCGCTTGCTCTAGTTTTCTGGAGGGAAGCTCATTCTTGAGGCTGGCGCAATGAAACACTCACCGGAACTGAACAAGCAAACCAACCCCTCAGCCACCCCTTCACCTTATTTAGAGACAAGCGATACCATCAGTGGACTGTATATCTTTACAATTCAGCATTGTTTGCCGCCTCAATCCCTATGCTCCTAAAAATGCCGACTACCTTATTTAGACACTGGGCTATTTGACGATTTAAACTGATCTTGGTTATGCCTAATCACTATGCCTTACTGGTTATACCTTACTGTAACATGTAATCACATATTCGTCGCTTGTATGCCGTATGTGTGTACCCTTTGTAAATGGAATATGTAACTCCGAAACATCAACCCAACCAATAAATGCCCAAAAATCGGTGAATTACTTTTAGTCTCAATAATGGACAGACAACCCGTAATCAGAAAACTAGAGCAAGCGCCAGAAAAAGCTTATTAAATGCACCTACGCCAAGGTTTTTACCAACGCGTTTATAGAACACTACTTGATGCCTACATATACCAATATATATATATATATATATATATATATATATATATATATATATATATATATATATATATATATATATATATATATATATATATATACACGTAACGGAGGATTTAGGAAGCAGGTTTTCTTTTGAACCTTGCTGGCTGTCCATCGCAACACAGTCAGCGTTGATGTCCTTGGTAGTTTGTTCAAGGCTTCATACTATGCACTCATCGTTTTTGGAGTGCCGATGGAGAATGTTGCCAAAGTTATTTATTCAACGTTTCGATCAGTTCCATAATCATTTTCCAGCAAGAACAGTACATTTCAAACATATAGCTGCAATCACAGTACAAATACTAAAGTTTTTATCGTATTGCCATGAAACGCGCCGTCGAGACCTTTGCAAAATAATGTTTACATGCTGGATGCTCTAATTCCAAACACACTTGCATCAACCACATTCAAATGTCACTTGTCCGGTAGGGTTGCATTAGGGAAGGGGGGGGGGGGAGAAGTCGCATCAGTTGCATGTCGTTAGGTGGTTAGCTGTGTGAGTGGTTTGTTTTCTATGTTGATAGACACCATGTCTCTGATGCATGATGTTTCAAATGTCACGAGGCCCATATGGTCTATGGTCTGCGCAGCATGGTAGTGCTCATGAATGACCATACTTCAGGTGAGTGGGATGTTGCAGTGTGTCCGCGCACGTGTTTTCGCTGACCCCTCTGTTTATGTTATTTGTTTCCACCTCTTTCAATTCCTCTCCTTTTTGTTTTCGGTTGGGGCACATGTCACAGTGAAGTATGTCAATCGAGCAGGAGGTTAACGACTAGCATTATATCGCTTCCTAGCCTCAGCATAGGGGATTTCATGCTCGACTTTTAGGGTACATAAGTCTTTTTCTTGGTCAACACAGGACACTCATGTGACAGACAAGTGTGTCCTGCCACGCCACAACTCATGCACTTCGCCTCATATTACCCTCATGCACATGCTCACCACACTTCAGACATGTTCGGTCGTTTGTGCATCTTCCCTCAGGGTGCCCATATTTACCACATCTGTAGCAAGTTAATGGGTTGGGCACATGCTTTTTGACATGGTAGGTTATGTAGTCCAGTTCAAGTTTGGGGGGGGGGGCAAGTTGGCACACCAAGGGTGAGAAGTATGGTAGGGGTATTCTCGACCCTTCCTCCCATCTTCTTTGTAAACCTCTGCTCCCACCACACCAATTTTCTTAAACCAGTGAACGATCTCATCCTCAGGAAGGTCCATTAGGTCATAGCCATGTATAGTGCCTTTGCTAATGTTAAGTTTGGGGTCACGGTAGACCTCACACTCCTCTCCCACCAGTGATGATGCCTTCAGAAGCTTTTCAGTTTGGTTCTGTTCTTTTGTTTTTGTTGTTCTTATCAGGAGGCTTCCATCCCGGAGGAGGCTAGCCTTCTCTACCTTGGTCTGTGTACCAATAATATTCCGAAGTCCTGCCTGAATCCATGGCCATCCCTTGGATCTCATAGGCTTTCCACATTCCAAGGTCACTCTCAGGTATGAACCGGCATTGCGGTCCACAACGTCATTCCAGAAGTTCTCCACCACATCTTCGGCTTGGGATCGCTTCCCAGGTCGACTATGCACTACCACATCTCCATTAAGTCGGTCAGCGTCAATTCCCACCTCTAACCCAGATCTAGATTTGGAAAATTTTATTAGTCTGTCATTGGGCAGTAGACACTTGAAAAACACAATCACAAACACAATCGAAAGAATCCGCTGACTGATGATCTCGCCGACAGCCTCCAGGGCACGTCCCCCCTGAATCGCTGCAGATCCCACAATGACGTTTCCTAACCACCTCCACCATGCTCCCCGCTGACCACCAACCGACCGACCTTGCCCCGGCCTAGGAGCAACTCGTACTCAAATGGGAATTGGTATCCCAAAATGGTGAAGGTTTTCTACTCCCATCGAATGAGAAGAAATTCACGACATTCACCTCTAAACAGCCTTATTTCCTCTTTCAGCACTGGGCCACCGGGCTGCTTTGTTTAGCAGCTATAAGTACTAAACATCACCACTTTTGGTGCGAATCGGTACTAAACCCCTCAGGCCCTAGCTAAAATCCGTTCCCCTCTTAACGAAGATCTGTACTAACTAGGCCCGAGGACGTGTTGACCGGCCGGATAGAGACTGCCCGCCACCTGGTGGTAGCCAAGGCAAAAGCAGCACCTCATCAAGAACTTCGCTCATATTTGTAAATGTAGCAGCTTTAAATACTTTTTTATATAGGTTCTGAAACATGTGAAGTCCAAAGTTTAATCCACAGCTTGATTTGACAAAATACAAACGATCAAAATATGGTCACTAGGTTCGCAAAGCAATCTTTAGATATCGCTGCGTGATGTGCCAGAAATAGCGTGAACCGTTTCTGCCCAACATCAACAGAATTGGTAGGAATATAGTGCTACTATTAGTAGGTAAGAATTATACGGGTTGACTTTCTTTTGCAAAAAATCACATCTGGGCATGATGTATCGTGTAATCGTTATAGAAAACCTTGTCGGGACTAGATCAGCGAGAGTAACGACTTTGTTCGCTCTTGTGAAGGCTTTAGCGAAATGGCGGCCAAGATGGCTGCGACCAAAACTTGGACAATAGCTGGTAGATTTTTAGTAATTCCGGAGTAAATTTGAATCGCATGTAGGAGTCAAGATTGGGGTGCACGATTGGTGCATGCCGCATGAATGCGGATGTTGATTGGGGTCGGGTCCTTTTCCATATCTCATTGAATGATAACTTTCCAAGCAGACATTTAACATTCAGTGTCCAAAGTTGATGACACCATGAGAAACAGAGCGTTGTAACACACATGGTGGCTTAATGTTTGAGAGGCAGATCAACTTAACATTTTAGGTACGTGCATACCTACCTAGGTGGCATGCTTTTTAAGATGGGTCCAATTAGGGAAGCAAAACCAACAGCTACCAGCATGTGTTGTCCGATGGGTCAAGAAGTGCATGTACCAATGGTGAACTGTCCCTCTCTATGTACATGGTGATTGGTGGGAAACACAACTTGGTTTTTATGTGATGGTCAGGTGCATCTGCAGTATGTTGGGGTAGTAATGACATCAGCTTTGTGCTCAAATTCATATCATTTTTTTTGCAAGAGTGTTGCATTGCTTAGACTGGTGAGAAGGTTTTAAAGATGGTAGGAAAATTCCCACTTTTGATTTTACATGTCATTTAACTGTTTGGCTTCAACTAAGAATTTGAACACAAGAGAGAAAGGTCTAGACAATAGGGACTATGAGCACTGTGAAATTGTGTTGGATTTTAATTATTCAAGATCATTTTATGAGAATGTAATGGTAAGGTAGTGAGTGCTTATGTGTCATAGCCAGGAGGACCTGGCCTCATTCCTGGTTGAGCCATGGTCCCTAAACATTAAGATTGCTATTGCAGGTAGTAGTTAGTAGCAGTCTAAAGGGGTGTGCAGTAGTGTGCATCACAGTTTGTTTTTAAGACAAAATGTTTTATTATGCTCATCACTAGGCCAAGTGACTGAAAGGTTATATGAATTCCCTTACTAAAACAAAATGCAGTCTTCAACTTTTATTTCAGCTGCAAATAGGTTTGAACCTTTCTAGCTACCCACACCAATGCCTCTAGTCAGTAATCTTGTAATAAGTAGTGTCAGAATGCATGCAGATTAAGAACTTTGAGATTGTTGTCAATTCTGTAGTGCAAAGCACATAGGTTCATCATAAATGAAGCAAATTATCCACTATGTATCCAGTTCTTTGATGTCAATAGGATAATGGATATCTTAGGGATGTGATAGCCAATATATTTTTGCATGTTGGATGCTCCAAATCAGCTAGCTGTGTTTGCATCTTACAGATGGACAGCATTATATTGGCTGAATCTGTGGAAGGTACGCAGTAATGCCACTGAACATTTCAGCCCCCGCCCCCCCTGAAGAAGGTCAACCATTAAACCTCTACCACCTCCATCTCTCTCTTTGGGGAGTGAACTGAGTTTGTGTACAAAATTGTGCATTGCCTTTGTAATATGGGTTGCATCAAAGCTGAGATAAAAGTTTTCCTTTGACAGTATGTTCTTTGTTTAGAAATTGCTTGATTTTGAAAGAGCTTTTGCCTCTTCACAATGCTGTAACATTTATGCTGCCTGATAGCAATCCCTTTTGACATGTTTGGTTCATAGCTCTTGGCTCTCTTCATCCTTGCATTATGTTTAATATTTGATAATATCCAAGTCCTTGGGCTGTGGTTTTGTGACTCTAGTTTTTAAATTTCTTGCAATTGACCAGCCCAACAGGCCATGTAAATGTTTGTTTATAAAACTGTATTTTTTGTGTTGCCATCACTGGGATTGGTCTGCAAAGGTATGACATTATGAAATACAATGTCCACATTCACTCCACTTGTATTCCATCCACTTACAGATTCTCAAGTAACTAGACTATGGCAGAACTACCTGCACCGACGGAGCTGCTGGTGCAGGTGCAGAAGGATCCCAACCGGGAGGGTGAGACAGTGATCCAGGTGGTACGGCATGCAGAGGGACCACGGCCCACTGACGACGAGGACGACACGGGCGGGGAGGAGCCCGTTGCCCGCGAGCCGACTGAGAGCTCCAAGAAGATCTACCTGCAGCGCTACCGCTCTGCCTGGGAGGAGGTGCCCGCATTCCGCGACTGGCTGATGCCTGTACCCGACGACCCGTTCTCCGCGGCCTGCGCCTCCTGCGAGTGCTCGATGAAGGCCCACCGCCAGCTGCTGATCGAGCACTGCAAGAGCAAAAAGCACCAGCGCCAACTGGGCCACCGCAATCCGCTGTACACACCCGGGCCGGCGGCACGGCGCGGCAAGAAGCGCGCGCCCGCCTCGTCGCCCACGCCCTACCGGCGGATTATGAAGCAGCTGAAGCCGGAGCGCGATGAGCTCGAGGTATCCTACAACGACTCAAGCCGCGTCACGTACGCCATCGGACTGGGCGCACAGCGCGTCGGCTTCATCGGCTCGGGGAGCGTGGCGCGCGCTATCGCCAAGGGCATGCTGGACAAGGGCCTGGTCGTACCAGCCAAGGTGATGGTGAGTGCGCCCAGCGACCGCAACTTCGAGACCTGGAAGAAATGGGGCTGCCGCACCACGATCAGCAACGACAGCGTGATCCGCACGTGCGAGATTGTGTTCCTGGCAGTGAAGGCGTCGGTGCTGGAGCCGCTGGTGGCGGAGCTGGGTGTGATTGGTGAGGACAAGTCGCGCTGCTTCATCTCGCTGGTGTCGGGCGTGAGCCGCGAGCGCGTGGCCGCGCTGCTGGCCGGCCGGCGTGAGCTGCAGACCGAGATGGCAGAGCTACACGTGGTGCGTTGCCAGCCGAGCACGCCGCTCATGATCGGCGAGGGCTGCTGCTCGTACTCGGCCGCCGCCGACCTGCCGCACCACTGGCTGCTCGCCGTCGAGACCATCTTCTCGGCGCTCGGCATGTGCTATAAGGTGGAGGAGGGCCTGATGGACGCGCTCGCCGGCGCCTTTAGCAGCGGGCCCGCCTTCGCATACTCGTTCGTCGAGGCGCTGGCGGCCGGCGCCGTCAATATGGGCGTACCGTGGCACCTAGCGCGCCCCATGGCCGCGCAGACGGTACTGGGTGCGGCACGCATGCTCATGGAGACCGGCTGTACGGCGTCCGAGCTGCGCGACGAGGCCTCGCCGCCCGGCGGCACCACCTCGGCCGGCCTCATGACGCTGGAGAAGGAGGGGCTCAAGTACGCCGTGATGGCGGCCGTGCGCGCCGCCACCGAGCGCTCCCGCCAACTCGGCCGCGACGAGGGCCTTGCCGGCGACCCGCTGCAGTGAGCCGGTCGCGCGCGCCGCCCGGTCCGCCCCCACGGGCAGCGGTGTCATGGACGATGTACGCACCGGATGCCGAGGGCTGTAACTCACAGCAAGGCGTGATACATTAAGGGCGGTGCACCGGCGGAAAAGTGGGGTCCCGAGAGTGTGTTCGTTTGCGTAGCGTGTTGTGTGCGGGATAAGCATTCAAGGTCAGTCGTGCTGCCATTGTTGTTTCGTGTTGCTGTCTTCGCTCAGCTTCATGGCAGAAATCCGCGGGTGTCCTATGCGTTTGGTACGCGTTTGGATGTCGGTCGTGTGTGGTGCTGTCGTTTCTTCACCCATTTTGTCGATGTAAGGGCTGGGATGCTGCCCGTGTCTGCAATGCAATAGGATCGCATCGACCCATCCCGTTCTGAACGGACCTGCGCTTATGAACACCACCACCATCGTACTAGAGCTCCTATACATATTGCACATATTCGTTAATGTGGTACTGCCGACTTAAAGCCGTGCAAGCACGCCTGCATTTTGAAACTACGCTTCTGTAACCATAATGGAACCTTGACAGCGATAGAGGTGAAACCCCCGATTTTTGTTCGGATTATCCAACCCGTTAATTGATTTCATTCCGCCCTCGAATGGCTCGCCAATAAAAACCACCCGAGCATTTCGGTACCATGACACCGCGGATGTAGGTGAATATGCTACTCATGACGAGATCGCGCGCCTCACGCTCCATACGTCACCTAACCAAAGTTATCGATTTAAGACGGCCCGAACCCTAACGCTTAACAGCTGTCTTTTTGTAACCAGTGATTGTACTGCCACGAAATTTCCCGCGACAGTTCTTACAAATTGTACCCATAACCTACTTGACTGCATCCAATGTCTTCTCAAAATAGTTATCCCGGTATCTGCAGGCAATGTCAATGGCACGCATGACCAATATTCCAGCACTTATGTGGTAAATTGATGTACCGACTCCCAACATAAGCGGACTCCCGTCTGCCATGTTCATGAAGTGAACCGACTATTATCACTGACGTCATACCCACATGGGCTCGACCTCAACGGGGGGATGGGCTCTTCTCGCCACGTTATCATCTGCATTGTGCCTCCCATGACATCGGTCGGCGCCTTGGTCGTCACACGACGTGCAAGGTGCCTTACCGATGCGCTAAGCTTCCTTCGTTTGACTAGCTGTAACATGTGGATGGCTGAAAAAGGGCGACTGACGAGATCATGCCGGTGTATCGGAGCCGCATGTTGTCGCCGCGATTCAAAACTTGTTCGTTATCAGGTATCTCGCAGAAGCACACGAGGAACCAATACTTCTTCGGCTGCTAGCGATTGGCAGGTAGTTGCGTCTATTAGTTTATTTTACTGCGTCGCACGTGTTCACACTATTCACAACTGCTCCACCCACACTCGGGGACCAGTACTGTCCAACCATTAGCGATACGTCTTCCATAGCCGGTCCTTGTAGGCCACCTGCCCCGTGCTGTATTTCTTCTCTAACCGCTCCTGAAAAAAAAATGAGGCTTATGAGAACATCGCAAGTTTCATTTCGTCACAGGTTTTAAAATGTCCCAAATGAGAAGTTTACTTCTTTAGAAGACGAGCTTAGAGCGCAGCCAGCAGTGTATAAACAGGCCTTTAGTCCTGAGTAAACTCAAATGCAATACGCCCCCCGCTCAGGAGAGTGGAAGTCATAAGCGAGGGAGTGCAACGGCTCAGACAGGGCATCAGACAAATATTCTGCTCTCGGCATCCAAAATTAATCCATTATGCATAAAGCACCACCATTATGCATAAAGGTATGATGAATGACGTCATACACCAAGGCAATGGTCTGGCAATGTAACTGTTCACTTGGTAATGGTACCACAAGCAAATGATCACCTGCTCTCAGATATAGCTTAAAAGGACTGCTCCACATATGAAGATACTGAGGCAACGATCAGACATGGCGGGAAAAGCTCATGTAACTTAAGGTATACTTGTAAGTGGAAAAGTGTAAGTAACTCAAGCGGCATTCTTGCATACGTTTCATGATAACAGGGTTTTTTTTACTTCAGTTCACATTTTTTGTCACACGCCATTCTTAAGTCATTCGATCACCAGTCTCACATCTGTCATGATAGGTAGTTGCCAAAATGCCTGTTATTCATTACGAAACGCGGTTCGTGACCGGGACATGCAATGGGCAGCTCAGTCTGTCCGTCTTCTGCCATTGGAGGGACATTGTTGCTGAATCATTGCAAATATGAATGTCTCAGTGGCCATATCTAAGTGACCATGTACATAAAGCAAACAATGAGGTGGCGATACTCGCGTCACGTTTCCATGACACACAGGTCTGAGCAATATTTAAATAGGCAGCATGAAAAGGCTACACACATTTGCCTGTGTCAAGCTAAGGAACGCGAAGGACTAAAGTCTTAAAAAAGCATGGCTGTAAACTGCACTCAGCAGGCAGTGCTCTTGCAAATGACTATCTCAGTTCAAAACAGCGCGGAAGCAGCATACTTTCTTTCACGCCAGCAAACCATCTTCACGTCACAACTTTCACGCCAGCAAACCATCTTCACGTCACAACTTTCACGTCAGCAAACCATCTTCGCGTCACAACTTCCAAAGTTTCATAACCCTATGACATGCTTGCTCCTTTGCCTCAACAAGCCAGGACCAAGCATAACATGGGCATGAAGCTCTATGTCAACGTGACTGAGCCTGGTGCCAGCCTGCCGGACTCACCCGATCCCACCACATCAGATGGCAGAACAGCAGGATGGGGATGGCGGTGATACCGACGCCGCGGAAGAAGTTGCCCAGCGTCGGCCGGAACGTATCATACTGCGTCACGCGCATCGACATGAACCGCTGAATGGCCGGGTCAAACTGGAACACAAAAGGCCACCTGGTGGATGCAGCACACTCCAGACAGCATGGCCCGCTCTTCTTAGTGTAGGCTGCAGTCCAGCAGTCCACTCCAAAGATAGCACCTCACTATATGGGTGAAGCTCCTGCTTCTCAAGGTTTAACAACAAAGTTAACACCTTTGTGCTCAAATGGAAGCAAAAGTATCAGCACACTTTTGTTTTACTGGCTAGTCTATCTAATCTTTCCTATCCTATCCCCATCAGCTCAAACAGTAAGTATGAGTTACATATGTGTCACAGTGCTGTTACAAGGCACATTACTTCAAATTGGTTTTCCACAAACCCTTAATTTTCTATGAAGAGAGTGTAAAGACAGTTTCAAAGGGCTACACATCAGGTTAGAATTTGTGGACAGCACTTTGTAAACATTAACCCAATGGTCAATCGCTCTGATTATGTGCCTTCAAATGCATATGATGTACCACACCAACACCTCACCCATAAACAATCAGTCCGGGGACAGAACGGAAATAATTAGCTACTCCTCTAAAACACACACCCATGTCATGTATACAAGCATGGATATATACCTGCCAAGAGACTAGACCTGATGTAAATTGTTACATCTTACAGTTCTCGTTCCATTGCAATTCATTCAAATGCATCTATGCTGTTCATTGAACAATATGCGAAGCTTTCCAATGCAACTATGGGTCTACTATCTAATACACGCTACTTTTAAAATTCACCTGCCTAATACATACTACACTCACCCCATGGATTTGCTGAAACTCAATAAAATATTTGTGGTTTAACACATTCCTATACCCATCTCCAATATTCCTTTCACAGGTAGTTTTGTGGTCCAAAGGGCTTTCTCATGCACAAAACTGTTTATGCTTAAGGGGGCGACATGACTCTCATCCTGAAAAAGCTAGCAGACAACACCAAGAATCTACCTCAAACCTGGTGTCTCTGGTTTCCAGCAACCTCAACCATCAATTTGCCTGTATCAAAGTCATTTCAGGGAAGTGTCACTAAAATAATAACATGCTGTAAAATATATATTTTGCTTAATATTACTCAAAATAGTTGTCATCCCATGAGGGCTTTTCAACACTGACATGAGTAAATGTGTATGTGCATGAATTGATACATGCAATAGCTACATTGCTCCACTGAGATTCTGAGCAGAGCTGTGATGTTGTGGCTCAAACAGGATTTGATCCTGCATGGTTGGTCAATGCAGCATAACCATGGTGCTTGAGAAGCTTCAGAATCATGGCTGGGAACATGCACTTGGCCCCAGCCAGCAGCTGGTCTACAAAAAGTGCTCTTGTAAGCATAGTGCTTTAGTTAGGCTGCAAGTTGTCTGTAGGATGACCATCACATGGTAATATGTTTGTCTTACAAATACCTCTTGATCTCAAGACCATTATCCAACCAGGCATATAAATGCTAGAATTCCAGTATGATTGGTAGGCCGCACTGCAAGCAGATGCTTTCACGCCCATTCGAGCCACAAAACTAGATGCACCTACTTTTCCAGAATTCCCAGGGGGAGAATGACTTTTCTCACACCACACCACTAACTTCACTTCATGTTCAGCTGACCTAGAATGTTGTGATTTGCAACCACACAGATTCTGACAAAACCCGGTAGGCTGAGTCTAAATGTTTTCTGACTTTTGTCACACTGCATTACCAAAAAATTACAGAATGCTTTTACATGGCGACCAATAATCACTTATTAAAGATGACACATAATGCTCACTAGGAATTCTTCATATCACGCAATGAAATGGTGCAATGCCGTATCGCTCACCACATATCCACCGCCTTGACGACCATGGGGGTTCGATACCAATTTCTGCCATTGGCCTTTCAATTTCATGCGGTGATTACGACGTTCTTCTATCAGCCTTCTTTCCTCCGGGGGTAGATCATATTGACCTGATGACATTTTTAATCGGCGATGCCACACTAGGACTTTGCGATGAGGGATATGCCGCCTTCTCAACCACAGACCGTCCTCGCCATCCGCGTCACAATCCCACTAAATGCGCTGCTAAAAAGTGGCGTAGAAGAAGTCTTGGAGACAAATGCGGCCTGTCTCCGCGTACTTTGAAATGTCCAGCGGGTTTAGCATGAATGCCAGAAAATACACCACGAACGTGGTGCAAACACCATATATGAACTATGGATTGCTCCCAACATTGCACGGCGGAGTGAATGCAAACAGGGGCGGGTCCAGTATGTCGTGAAGGGAGGGGGGGGGGGGGAGCACGCAACATTGCGGTGCCCCCTAGAGTTTGGGGTCTTCTCCAAACAAATTCTGCCATCAATTTTTAAGATAAAAGGGATATGTACATCACATCCCAAGCTTGTTAGCCAAGGTAGTGCCAGCTTTTATCTGTTTTTTTTTGCTATTTTTAGCCCTCGTTTTCTAAGGGCTGCGCAGCATAACATGGGTTCCAACACTTAAACTATTTATTTAAAGCATAATTGTGCGTATATATATATATATATATAAATTTATATGCATATAGATAGATAGATAGATAGATAGATTGATATATATATATATATATATATATATATATATATATATATAAATTTATATGCATATAGATAGATAGATAGATAGATAGATTGATATATATATATATATATATATATATATATATATATATATATATATATATATATACATTCTACATGTATATATAATAGTAAACACGGGACCCCACGCAAACCATATGCACGACCGTAGGGTAGCATGACCTGCAGTCCTCATCCTAATTTCATTCTAGGTGACCGCTCGAGGAAACCCTAGTGTTCCGTTGGGGGTAAAAAATCCCCATGTATGTGCCAAAGGATTGAAAATGAAATGAAATAATGGGATAAGACATGAAGTCTCCAGGAACTTAAGTGCAGGGACAGTTCAGGTGGGATAATCGAAGCGTAAGATTTCAGACCGGTTCATTGGACACCTTAGTGGCGCACATATACAGAAGGTGCACACATCGTTGCGAGGAAAACATGACAGGTAAACACGTTAAGGATACCTAATGTCGAATGAAGTAATCGCACCGCGTGCGTAGTTTGATAGATGCAGCATTGCACAAGAAACGCCAGCTGTAAAGAAGACGTTTTAATGTCAGGAGACAAGTATTCATATATTTAAATTGTTGCGCGCAAATGTCAGCTTTGTTCGGGGCAAGTAAGCATGCATCATCTTGGGACGTCACATGAGCAGCGTTTTTCATGTATAGTACATCCAGAAATGGCGCTATAGTCATTGTCTTGAACACCTTGACCTAATTCTTAGTACTGGTCATCTATTACTTCAAATTTAACCGTCTGTGTTTCGATCAGCTTTCCGCACGTGCTGGATGTCGGGTGTTTCTATGAAACCGTTTTGAAGAACACTCACCCTCATTCAACGATATTCACTACTGGCCACCAAACATTTTTGATGTTAGCTTGCTACTGCTGAAAATCCATCCCATAGTAACCACAATGCTGGTATATAATGCCGGAAGCGATTATTAACTCGAACTTATTTGTTATTTGAACTTGTTTAAACTTATTAACTCGAACTTATGTCTGCTTTATACTGGCAATCGAGCAGTCAAGATTGGCATCCAGAATTGCATACCGCTGGCGTCGATTTCGACAATTATATTTTCGGGCATAGCGCGGCTTTAATTCCATTTCATATTCCACCTGCTTTCAACGTTTTTTAACAGCCCAAAATGCAGGCAAACCTTGCCGGGCTCAACTTTGACAATCAGCGACTAATGCTCGACTCGGCGCCTCCAGCCGGCTCCATTGCTCCGGCCGGCTCCGTGGAGCGGGCATAGATCTGTTACTAAGCTAGTTATCCGGCCGGCCGGCCTCCCGCGCGTGGTCTTCGTAATGGTGTCGACTGTATGCGCGCGGCCGGCGCTGGGCGGGGCAACGCTGCCTGCCAATAAGGGCGATCATTCATACCCTGGCGGCCGCTGTAGGAACTAGTTTGCAAGCTTTGTTCTTTGGACATTCTGTACCTTGGACAATACGTACATTGGACCTTCTGTACTTTTGACATTCTGTACCTTGGATATTCTGTACACTGGTTATTATGAAACGGTCCCTTTCCACTTTGCGCCATTTTGACAGTTATTTCTCATCTTGGACATTGTGTACCTTGGACTTTATGAACTTTGGACAATCTATACCTTCGACATTCTGTACTTCGGACATTCTGTATCTTTGGACATTCTGTACCCTGGACAATATGATTCGGACACTGGGAGGCGTTCTGCGGCTGGGAGGTGTATATGTAAATTCGCGTGTAGTGAAAGTATCTGAATTCTCATCCTGCTAGACTTTATTATCTATGCTATGTCTGGACTTATCTTTTCCTCCAGTTATATGCCATTTAAGACCATGATCGCACATGCGACACGCCGATGACGCTCGCGCGTTTTGGTTCATGAAACTAGCTCATGCCTCAAAGGCGAAGGAACGTTTCAAAAGGTGGGGGGCCAAGCTCAGGGTGCACTTCAGGAAGTTTTTGTGGAAAGGGAGCCTGATGGCCAGCGGGAGGGGGGTAGGGATGGAGTTTGTTATCGCTCTTTATCCAGATGTTATGGCTGCTATGCTAGATATGCATATAGAGCTGTTTCTGGTGCACCATCTCACTGGTGCACAATCTTGCCTATTCGACTCATCTGTCATTTGGCAAATAAGGCTATCCAGTTTCCCAATATTATTCGTTTGTTTTAATATTACCCCTCCTGGGGAATCAAAATTGAATGAGAGGGTAGACATTTTGGATCATTGAAGAGGCATCTGCCTCTACTGCCTATATATATATATATATATATATATATATATATATATATATATATATATATATATATATATATATCCAAGTATTTTTATTTATTTTGTATGTATTAATCTATCCAGAAGACAGATTAACAAGGCGCTCGCCATCTTGTGGCAATTGCAGTGGCCGAAACCTTTTGGTTCTACGGAACCTGCAACCAAGACCATCCTCGTCCTTGCTCTCGAGGTTGCGGGCGGGTATGCTCAAGCCTTTTGATGTTATTTGCTTCACTAGTACATTCTGAAAAAATTAACGTTCTCAGGCAAACATGGCATGAACTTACTCGTTTTTAAGCTTATTTCGACCCATCCTTTTCAACAAAAATGAGACCCGACTCTATTCAACAATAAAGAGACTCTTATTTCTTCCGGGTAAGGGGCCTCTTGAGTAGAATATCAGGGGCACATTACCATATCCGGCGAAGCGCTGAGGCGCCATGCCGTTCCATCGCGAAGTGTCTTCTGGCTATCATTCTGGCGACACGGAGCGGGATCTCCTGGTCGATCCGGAGGCTACTAGAAGGTTTCTACTCCCATCGAAAGAAAAGACATTCACAACGTCCACCTCTACACAGCCTCATTTCCTCTGGTCAGCCTTGGGTTACCGGGTTGTTCTGTTTAGTATCTATGTGTACTAAAAATCTGCTACTTTTAGTACTAATTGGAACTTAACACCGTTACCTCTCTTAGCAAGGATACGTACTAAATATTCTCGAAGATGTGTTGGTAGCCCACGGGAACCCGTATCAATGCATGACCAGTAAGGTCACACTCTCAGATCCTTCGGCAGAGCTCTCATTAAGCACGCGAATGCTTGCAGTAGATAGGTACGAAAGGTAAAGATGGAACATAGCCCATTTCGTGTGAGGTTAAGTAGAATACTAGCGACGTCATATCAACAGCTGATGCTTTATTACCTTGAGTCGACCCAAAAGGCCCGCAAAAATTAATGACCAATAACGTCACACACTCGGTGAAATACCAGTGACGTCATACTGTTGGTAGATATGATTGCCTTCTGGCAATCGGTCGGCCCAAAATAGCCCGTAGAAACTCATGACCGGTGATGTGACACACTCAGGTGATCGGCGGAGCCTTAAATCAGCACGCCAGTACTCGCAATAAACATGTACGAAAGGACGAAAGGTAAAGATGGAGCATGTCCTGTTGCGCCTGATGTCTAGTCGAATGCCAATGACGTCATATCATCCGGTGATGTTTCACGCCTGAGTCGCCGCAGAGGAGTCGCGGCAGAGGCCGTCCACGTCAGCGCCGCGGCGACCCAGACCACCCGGTCGGTGAGAAGCGCTCGGTCGGGCCGGCCGTCGGCGCTGACAGACAGTGACCCTGGCGTTAATGCGGAGGCCTCCGAGTCGTTGCTGGGCCACGTTGCTTACGAATGTTTCACTCACCTTGTCACTGATGGAGATACGGTATCTTAAACAATATCGCCCGGGGTGCGCTAGGCCGACCGCGTATCCCGCTCGGTAGGGCCCCGACAGCCGCAGCGTGCGATCAGTGTCGAGTGAGCTCCCGGAGGAACACCGCGCGTGCCCAAGTCGCGACGACTTACTGGCAGCTCCGTGCTCGACCGAAGCTCGAGGGGGTGTACGCCGGCGCTGAGACCACCGCCGAGTGCTGCTGCGGGGAGCAGTCGAGCTTCGGAACGTTCGTCTCACGCCTGCCCGTCAGACATAGACATAGTATGGTCACTGTGTGACCAGTGTGGTGAGGAACGGCCAAGCTCTGAAGGACCGGCCACTTGAGGCTGTCAGTTTTTCATTTGCTAGATATTCATACCGGCCAGTTGAGTGCATTTTACATGCGCCTGTTGGCGGATCTTCACTTCTCTTTGACGAGGGATTGTCCGTCCCTACAACTTTCGGATTGACTCCCTCATTTTGTGCCGACAGAGTTCAAAACTCGCCGAAAACTCGAAAGAAGGTGTGAAAGCACCCGAAATTCCTTAAATTTCGTATTGGAACACTTAATGGCTGATTGCCTGCGGACATTCATGCGTTTTGTCGAGCATGGTATCGGCACTGACGTGGTACGAAATGCCTACGAACATTTATTGTTCGCACGTTTTATCGTTCGTTATTCATGAGCACTTCGCCTTCTTTTCTATTGGCTGATCAAGTATATGCCAAAAAGTGTTATTCGTGCCGCAACTTCGCGCCATATCGATCCATTAATCTGTGATACAAGGGCTCGTGGTGGAGCTATTCACCGTGTACGTGGGCACCATTC